CACCGGGTCCAGGATGCGAACCGCGGTCGACTACGTGGGAGTCCAGCGACATAGCCATTACGCTAACTGCTGGTCCCCGGCCCACCATAATTTTCAAGTCACTGGGTCAGCAACTTGAACCGCGGTCAATCACGTGGGAGGTCCAGCGATGTAACCGCTACACTTGAGACGTAGGGGGGGAGGGGATGGCAGACATGCCTGTGGCCAGCGAGGGGCTCCTGGGGACTGAACCCCACTTCCACCCGGAGCCGGCTCTGTGGAGCGTGTGCTGCAGCTGCACCACCACGGCCGGCCCTGCACGCCCAGCTCGCGGGTCGGCACCGATCTGCACCGACTGGGCGCCACCTTCCGGCGTGTCGCACTTCCTCTGGCTTCGCCTCGGCCGCCTGCCATGGCCCTGCTCAGGGCGCTCCCCAGATTCACCCTTGGTCTGTGGCCTGCGACGCGGGCCCAGGGCCACCTGAGACGAAAGAGAACTCACGGGTCACAGGGGTCTTCTCTTCTTCTTCCTCCTCCTCCTCGTCCTCCTCCGGCCTGGGCAGCTTCCTGAATTCAGAGAGGTCCGTCTGCAGCAGCTGAGACACGGCCGCGTGGGCCAGAGACGCAGCCAGCGGTGGCGGAGCGTTCCTGCGGATGGGAATCGAACCGAGGTGAGGCCAGGGCCGCGCCCCAGCGAGCCCACGCCTGGCTTCGTGGCCCTGGCTGCCGGCCCCAGTGTTCCCCACAGAGACCTCAGCTCCCCACACACTCGGGGAGGCCTCTCCAGGGTGGCTGGTGGCTCATACCCTGCGGCCGGGTGACCCTGTCCTTGGGAATTGGGATGGACGTTCAAGTGACCCGTCCATGGGGAGCTGCCTGGGCTGAACGTGCACCAGGCTGGGAGGAGGAAGGGGGGGGTCACAGAGGTGTGTGAGCTGTGTCCTGGGCCTCGGTGGCCAGGCAGACCACCTGCCATCCAAGCCGATGACGGTTCCCCTTCCATGTGCCACGGGGGGGCTGGAGTGGTGAGGGGAGCGGGGTCACCCATGCCTACAGTCTCCAGGGCTTGGGGAGCACTGTGCATTGAACTGTGGCCCCTCAAATTCATGCACTGAGGCCCTGGCTCCCAGAACCTCAGACCTCATCTGGAGTAGGGTCGCTGTAGACAGAATAGGTAAGACGGACTGCGTCGCACTAACAGCAGGAGGGCGTCTCTGTTAGAGGAGACAGACAGAGACAGAGACACCGAGAGGGAAAGTGAGAAAGCACCTCCTCAATCCTTTCTTTTCCCGGGATCTCGGGCACGCGTGCCTGGCGTGATTTTCAAGCCACTGGGTCAGGGACTCACAGCACAGTCGGCCATGTGGGAGTCAGTGACGTAACCACTACGCCATCTGCTGGCACCAACCATTAAAACCTTTTTTTTTTTTTTAAAGAATTATTTTTATCTTACTTGATTTATTTAAATTTGTCCAAAAAAGCAACAGGGACAGGGAAGGAGGGAGGGAAAGGGGAAGAGAGCGAGCGAGCGAGCCTCCAAGTCTAGGACTCGAACCATGGTCAACCATGTGGGAGTCCAGCGCCCTAACCACCACACCACCTGCCAGCCCCTTCAACAATTAACTTTTATCAAGGGAAGAAATCTGGACAGGCACGCCCACGGGGAGAATGCCATGGGAACTTGAGGCAGAGACCCGGGTGAAGCCCACAAGTGAAGGACTGATCACAAACCACCGGGGGGACCGGCCCTGCTGACACCTTGACCCAGGACCTGTAGTCCTCAGGACAGTGGGACCATGACCGCCGCTGTCCAAGCTGCCAGGTCTGCGGTGCTGCGGTACAGCCGCCCCAGGAAGGTGGCCCAGGGAGCGCGCGGCCCGGGGGCTGGCAGCTCACGAGGTCCCTGGAGAGATCGGGTCATTGGGGCGGCGGGGTACAGGGGCCAGGGGAACAGGGGGTGAGCCAGGCTTCACGGCAACAGGGAGCCACTGGCCGGTCTGTTCTGACGTGGGACGTGGCACAACCGGACGGAGACCTCTGACCTGAGCACAGAGTAGACGCTGGTGGGGGGCGGTGACCCCAGTCCAGAGGACAGAGGATGAGGAGTGAGTGGCAAGGGGTGGTGGTGACAGACGGGAGAGGACAGGACAGAGTGATATCGGGGGGAGGGGGGCGCTGATATGGGGGAAGCTGGGGGAGAGGAGGAACAGGGACAGCCTCAGAGATTCTGTTCTGAGCAACTGGTGGATGGGGGCAGCGATGGTACGGATGGTCCACCAAAATTCATGTGTCGAGATTTTGTTGTGAAGGTATTAAGAGGGTGAGAACTTTACTTGATATGGTGGGTTCTAAGGAGAGGGAAAGGGGCCAGGGCAGACACCTGGGCACAGATGCACGCGCTCCAGCCCTGGTGCAACTAATTTTTTTTTTTTTTTTTGAGAGGTTTTTGCTATAGGGCGCATGCGCTCGCCAGACAGAGAGAGACAGAGAGATAGAAAGCAAGAAATCACCCCCCAGGAGGGATGGCCACACTGCAATCCCTTCTCCTCCATTCTCCTCTCGGGATCTTGGGCACGCACGCACACGCGCCCGGCGTGAGTTCTAAGCCACCGGGTCCAGGATGCGAACCGCGGTCGACTACATGGGAGTCCAGCGACATGGCCATTTCGCCAACTGCTGGTTCCCACAGCTAATTTTTTTTTAATTCCCAGAGTGTGCGTGCACTTGCCAGAGAGAGAGAATGTGAGAGAGAGTGAGTGCACGGGAGCCCCCCAGTAGGGTGTGGTCGTGCTGCCGCCCCTTCCTCCACCCCCCTCCCATCGGGGTCTTGTGCATGCACACACATGCACCTGGCATGCTTTTCAAGCTTCTAGGGCCGAGATTTGAACTGCAGGTGGCCAGGTGGGATCTGGCTCCCAACGCATAGTGCTTAACCACTGGGCTACAGGGCCAGCCCGGACAGTGCAGTTACCTAACAGCTGTGGGTGTGGGCCAGGGAATGGGGAATGGGCTGTTTCCATGCTGAGTCTCAGGTTCTTCGAGGATGAGAGGTTTAGGGAGCAGGCGATGGAGCTGCAAGAGGTGGGGGCCTGGGGCCCACAGGGGACAGCCAGGGAGAAACCAGAGAGAGAAGAGAGGATGACCCCCAAGAATGGCCCCCAGGAACGATTCGGATCAGTGAGACTTGACAGGTGGCTTTGAATGTCACAGGACAGAGCTGAAGCGTGAGCAGGGGCCCGCAGGGTGCAGAGGGAGGGAGCGTGCAGAGACGGGAGCTGCAGGCTGAAACTCAAAGAGGCGGGGTGTCAGTAGAGACGGAAGCCAGCCATGGCCAAAGAGAACGGGGGTTACGTGGTCTGAGATTCTGCAGCACACGTGACCATTCCTGTCCCCAGAGGGAAAGGCTTTGCACCTTGGGGTCTGACTCACACGCCCGGTCTGTGGGATGCCCTCCCTGGCTCCCCCAGACAGGACAGGTCACTCCTCCCGGTACTCCTGCAGCTTCTGGGATGCACCCTGACCCTCTGCATCTTCCTCCCCACTCAGGGGGTCCCTGGGAGCTGAATGATACACATCCACCCATTCATCCGTCTCTAGGGGGACAGACAGAGACAGAGACACCAAGTGTCTCGCGGTGCCTCTTTGCTAAGCTGACACTCCCAGTTGTATTTTACTTTTTACTTTTTTTTTTTTTTTTGAGAGGTTTTTGCTATACGGTGTGTGCACTCGCCAGACAGACAGAGAGACAGAAAGCGAGAAATTATCCCCCAGGGGAGATGGCCACGCCGCAATCCCTTCTCCTCCATTCTCCTCTCGGGATCTTGGACACGCACGCACACGCGCCCGACGTGAGTTTAAGCCACCGGGTCCGGGACTCGAACTACAGTCGACTACATGGGAGTCCAGCGACATAGCCATTATGCTAACTGCTGGTCCCTTTTTAATTGTTTATTTAACTTTATTTGTTGTTATTATTACTTTTTTTTAAAAATGTGCTATAGGGCATGTGTACTCACCAGAGAGAGACAGAGAGGGAGACGCAGGGGAGTAGTGAGAGAGCAAGCTGCCAGGTCCAGGATTCAAACCGCAGTCAGCCATGTGGAAGTCCAGCACCTTAACCACCACCCCACCCAGTGGCCCCGACACGCCCAGCTTTCACTGGAGGGCCAGGACCTCCCAGCCTGGCTGATGGGTCACGTCCTGTGGGGGCTGGCAGGGGACTGGAGGTCTCAGGGATGGTCTTAGGGATCTACTGGGACGAATTCCTGACTTTTTACGTGACAGGGTGACTCAGGGGAGAAGCTTCTGGAACCGCCTTTGAAAAACAACCAGCCAGGACATGAGACCTGAGTTCCTCCGCAGTTCAGGGGTTTCCTGCCAAGCGCGGGCTTTTTCCTTTTTCCCAGCAGGGAGGAGAGACGCCTGTTCTTTGGCCCGGTGACATCAGGCTTGGGCTTCCTGCCTGCCACGGAGCAGCTGGGGCAGGGAGGCGGCTTCCGCAGAGAGGACCCACACAATGCCTGCCCACAGGCCCCCAGCACCCCCTTCCTGGACATGGCTCTGCTGCATCCTGGGGTCCCACCCTCAGACACGCCCTAGAGGTCCAAAGTCACCCCTGGTCTGGCCGGTTCAGGGAAGAGCTCCTGGCAGAGGGACCAGGGCAAGGCAAACTTAAGGCCAGAAAAGCTAGCTGTGCCCACTGCAGGGGGCAGGGGTTACGAGCAGGTCCCAGCCCAGCAGGGATGGAGGCTGCGTGTAGGTCATCGCAGCGTAGGGGACACACTGCTCGGGACCCAGAGATGTGACGTGGAGACGTTGAGGACAGGGGAGGAAGGACACGGAACCAGTCCACCCGGGGGCGCAGCCATCTGACTGCTGCGTGGCCACAGGAGGGCGCCAGTTTCAACCTGGAAAAGAACCCCTGGGGGCCAGCGGGTGGCATGGAGGCTAAGTCATGGGGGTCCCACACGGCTGATGGAGTGGGTCAAGTCCCAAACTTGGCGACTTGAAAATGACACCGAGTGCATATGCAGGCCTGCCCAAAATGCCAAGAGGAGACTGGAGAAGGGGTTGCGGTGTGGCCATCACCCCTTGGGTGACTTCTCACTTTCCTTCTGTCTTTCTCTGGTAAGTTCACGTGCCCAATGGCAAAAACTTAATAAAAAAAAAAAAAAAAAAAAGAAAAAAAAAAGAACCCCATGGACCAACAAGGCCAGAGCCCTTTACACTCAAGAGCCCAAACTTGGCTATGGGGACAGAAAGCAGGAGAGAGAGCCGGTCTGCAAGTCAAACAGGAGTGTGTGCACATATGCACATGCATGAGTGTGCAAGGGTGTGGGGACACTTACGTGTAAGAGCGTTTAAGTGTGTGTGAGTGTGGATGCTTGTGCATGCAGGTTTGCGAGTGTGCAGGTGCTCATGGAGTATGTGTGAGCGTGGGTCTGGTGCATGCGGGCATGTGGGTCTGCAGGAGCTTGTGGGATGAGCGTGATGCTGCTGTGTGTGTGTGTGTGTGTGTGTGTGTGTGTGTGTGTGCAGGTGCTCATGAGGTGAGCATAGGTGCCAATACGTGTGTGTGTGTGTGTGTGTGTGTGCAGGCGCTTGTAGGGTGAGCATGGGTGTTGGTGCGTGTGTGTGTGTATGTGTGTGTGTGTGCAGGAGTTCGTAGGGTGAGCGTGGGTGCTGGTGCATGTGTGTATGTGCGTGTGTGCAGGCACTCGTGGGGTGAGCGTGGGTGCTGGTGCATGTGTGTGTGTGCAGGTGCTCGTAGGGTGAGTGTGGTGGGTGCTGGTGCATGTGTGTGTGCAGGTGCTCGTGGGGTGAGCGTGGGGGCTGAGGGGTGTGTGTGTGTGTGTGTGTGTGTGTGCAGGCGCTCGTGGGGTGAGCGTGGGTGCCGGTGCATGTGTGTGTGTGCAGGTGCTCGTAGGGTGAGTGTGGTGGGGGCTGGTGCATGTGTGTGTGCAGGTGCTCGTGGGGTGAGCGTGGGGGCTGAGGGGTGTGTGTGTGTGTGTGTGTGTGTGTGCAGGCGCTCGTGGGGTGAGCGTGGGTGCCGGTGCATGTGTGTGTGTGCAGGTGCTCGTAGGGTGAGTGTGGTGGGGGCTGGTGCATGTGTGTGTGCAGGTGCTCGTGGGGTGAGCGTGGGGGCTGAGGGGTGTGTGTGTGTGTGTGTGTGTGTGTGCAGGCGCTCGTGGGGTGAGCGTGGGTGCCGGTGCATGTGTGTGTGTGCAGGTGCTCGTAGGGTGAGTGTGGTGGGGGCTGGTGCATGTGTGTGTGCAGGTGCTCGTGGGGTGAGCGTGGGGGCTGAGGGGTGTGTGTGTGTGTGTGTGTGTGTGTGCAGGCGCTCGTGGGGTGAGCGTGGGTGCCGGTGCATGTGTGTGTGTGCAGGTGCTCGTAGGGTGAGTGTGGTGGGGGCTGGTGCATGTGTGTGTGCAGGTGCTCGTGGGGTGAGCGTGGGGGCTGAGGGGTGTGTGTGTGTGTGTGTGTGTGTGTGCAGGCGCTCGTGGGGTGAGCGTGGGTGCCGGTGCATGTGTGTGTGTGCAGGTGCTCGTAGGGTGAGTGTGGTGGGGGCTGGTGCATGTGTGTGTGCAGGTGCTCGTGGGGTGAGCGTGGGGGCTGAGGGGTGTGTGTGTGTGTGTGTGTGTGTGTGCAGGCGCTCGTGGGGTGAGCGTGGGTGCCGGTGCATGTGATGACTGATGAATCTGCATCTTACAGGAAGCAAAATGCTAGAGAAGAACAACACAGCACGAGCCCATCCCCACCGGGACGGTAGAGACGCCAGACCGCAAGGACTGCGCTTCATCAGAGGGCAGGTGGTGGAGGTGGGTTCACACCTCGCTCTGTGCTCCCCTGCAGCTTCAGGCCCAGGGAGCTCCAGCCGCACTGCTCCCTCCCTGCCGCCTCTGCCCTCGCCCATCACGAACGACCACCATCCACCTCAGACAAGAACTAAACCCACTTCCCAGGCCCTGTGGCCCCTGAAGGCCCCACTTAGGCCCCTCCCTGAGCAGACTACCTGCTGCTCCTGCCACCGCCCTGGCCCTCCGCATACCTCACGGCCTCGCGTGACCTTTTCCTGTGTATGAAGGGGGAAGGGGAGGGAAAATGACAGGGGAATTTCTGACTAGGTCCTGTCCCATCCTCCAATCAGCGAGGAGTACAGGCACATACAACTGGACCAGGGTGCTCGGGCTGGCCCGGGAACCGAACCTGTGCCTCCCATGCGACTTCCGGAGCGGAGGCACTCTGGGCACCACCACGGCTGGGCCCTCATCCCCTCCCATTTTCACTGCTGTGAAACAAAACCAGCTTCCTCAGTCCTGATCCCCCACTCCTGCCCCCAGGCGTGTCCCTCCTCTGGGCCCCATGGCTGGTTCCTCCCCACTCAGAAGTCCGTCTAACACCCAGGGCTCTGTCGTCTCCCAGGACAGCTTCTCTGCCCTCCTCCTCCCCACACCGGGGCCAGGGAACCCCGATCCTCCAGGCCTGGCCCTCCTCCCCACTGCCCCTGAGACTCTGAGAGAGTGATGACCCCTGTCATCTCCACGGGCGGCCCCATGGCTCCTGGGGATCGGGCTGGGAGTGGCCTGAGAACTCCCTGGACTTCCTCTGGAGACCTGCCTTCACGTCCCAAATCCAGCATCCACGCTGGCCCATCCCAAGGGCGATCACTGACACCCCCCCAAACCGATTCCAAAACAAGCCAACAACACCCTTCATGCCCCCCGAGGCTCACGGTCATTGAGCATTTCCCCTGAGTCTTGTGGTTGTGGAGGACGCAGGTGGGGCACGGCCCTGGAACTGACGTGCTCCCTGCCTCGGTTCCCACACGGCACAGGGCGAGTGCGGTGACCACGTCGCAGCCTCGGGCAGGGTTCCAGTAATCGGGCCATCAGGCCATCGCGGGGTGTCAGGGGAGTCGATCGGCGCAAAGGACAAGGAATTGCACGTCCGGGGGATGCTGAGCAGAGGGCGCCGAGGCTGCGGGCCAGGGTGTGGGCAGACGCCACGCCAAGGGCATGTCCATGTCGGGGGAGGTACGGACGACCCGTGGGGAATGCTAGGACTTGGGGCCATGGCACATCCCCTTGGGGAGGGACACGCTTCCCAAACACGCCTGTGGCCTGCCAGCCCTCCCCGCTCCGTGAGCCAGCCTGACGCCATCGGGGCAGCTCGACTCCAATAACCGCAGCTGTCTGGGCAGAGGGTCTGAGGGAGACCTTGCCCTCCGCCGTCTTTCAGGGGACAGATACGTCCAAGATGAATGAATGAATGAAACTGGGGAGGGCCACCAGGACCATGCCTGGGTCTTCGGAGGCAGGGACCCCTGGGGTGGGCCCAGGAGGGGGCGGTACTGGATCTGTGTGGACACGCTACTCTGTCTCCACGAGACCTGAGCTGGGCGTGCTGCCTCTCGGGGCCACAGCCTCATCTGTGAACTGGGGACAGCACCAGCTTCTGGACCACTGTGGCCAGAGGGGGCCACATAGTCCTGCCCCCCGTCCCCCAACACAAGGCCACAGCCACTTCCTGACCCACCGACCTCTGCCTCCTCATCTGTAAGATGGGGCAGACGCAAGCCCTGCTGCTTGGCCTGTTATGCATTAAACGGTGTCTCCCTGGTAGACGGGTCAAGTCTCAGCCCCCAGCGGCTCGCAGTGTGACCTTTGGTGAGACAGGTCTTATCAAATGCACTTGGTGATGTTCAGGTGTGGTCATCGTCCACCGGGGCAGTTGGTGACCGAATGTGACCGGTGCCCCTTTTTATCTCCTTAGGTGAGAGATTTTTGCTATAGGGACGTGCACTCACTGGAGAGGCAGAGAGCAAGAAATCACCCCCCAGGGGAGATGGCCACACCGCAACCTCTGCTCCATTCTCCTCTCGGGATCTTGGGCCCGCACGCACACGCGCCTGGTGTAAGTTTTAAGCTGCCAGTTTCAGGGTTTGAACGGTGGTCGACTACGTGGGAGTCCAGCTATGTGACCATTACGCCACCTGCTGGCCCCTGACTGGTGTCCTTCTAAGAGAAGAAGCTACAGAGACATGCAGACAGGGAGAGGAGGCCTGCAGAGACAGACGCAGGGGGAGGATGCCATGGAACCTGAAGGCGAGACCGGGGGATGAGCTTACAAAGCCAGGAGATAACAAGGCGGCCCTGGGCACTAAGAGAGAAGCCCACGCAGGTCCCCCACGGCCTTGGAGAGAACAAGGCCCGCAGAGACTGTGATCTGAGATCCTGGCCCAGAACTGGGAGAGAATGCATCCTGTCGCTGCAGCTGCCTAGTTCTCGGCGCTGTGTTCCAGCAGCCGCAGACAGGGTTGAGGTGGACACGTGACAGACGCCATGCCTCGCTCCCAGACCCGTCAGCCCACGGTGCACCGGCCTACCTGCTGCTCAGGAAGCCCAGGGCCAGCTCGGCCAGCTCGGCCTCCACCTCCTCCTGGCTCAGCGTCATCCCCGGGGCCTTCCATGGCAGAGCGCTGTCCGGGCTCAGCGGGGCCGGGAAGTCGCAGAGGAGCGCGTCCAGGAAGCCTGGGGTCTCCTCCGTGCCAGACGCCATCTGGCTGCTCTTCTGTGGGGCTGTAGAGGCCATGCCCAGAGCATCCCGGGGGGCTTGCGGCTGGGCCCGGGGAGAGGGTCTCCACTCAGCCTTCTCCCTGGGGAGGGAACTCAGAGTCAGAAACTCCCAGGCAACAAGCGTCTTACGGTGCGAGGCGCGGGCACAGCGGTCTTCACCCACACCACGAACAGCATGGCACCAAGCACCAGCCTGCACGGTTCAGAGGCACAAACGAGAGCTCCGAGGGATGGCAGATGGCGTAACAGCTACATCGCTGGACTCCCACGTAGTCGACCACGGTTTGTGTCCTGGACCTGGTGGCTTAAAACTCACGCTGGGCGCGTGTGCGTGTGTGCCCAAGATCCCGAGAGGAGAATGGAGGAGAAAGGATTGCAGTGTGGCCATCCCCCCTGGGGTGTGATTTCTCACTTTCTGTCTCTCTGTCTCTCTCTGTCTTTCTGGCGAGCACATGTGCCCTATAGCAAAAACCTCTCCAAAATAATAGTAATAAGTCTGTTTTAGACTATGACAAAAATAGAGTCAGTTTGGTGTGGTGGTGAAGACAGCTGGATCCCACATGGCCAAGTGTGCAGTTCAAGTCCTGGACCCAGGCAGCTCGAGAAACACGCCAGGTGTGTGTTTTATAGCGCGCCCAAGATCCTGAGAGGAGAATGGAGGAGAAGGGATTGCAGCATGGCCATCCACCCTGGGGGGTGATATCTTGCTTTCTATGTCTCTGTCTCTGTCTTTCTGGTAAGCGTATGCGCCCTATAGCAAAAACCTCTCCCCAAAAAAAGGAAGTGACAGAGAAGGAAGGTATCCTCCCGGCAGGGGGTGGCAGATGTGACAGGCAGGAGAGGGACCCCAGGGCCAGGCCATCAGACAGGAGAAAGGCTTCACCCTGGTCACGAGACCTCGCCTGCCAGGAGGGCTCCCAGGTGAGGAGCCCGGGAGCGGTGTCCAGATGGGAAGTGGGACACTTGCCCGGATACAGCAGCTGCGAGGGGGGAGGAAGAAAAAGGCCAGCACACCCCGGGCCAGGGGCAGGTCTCAGCTGCCGGAGACCAGAGCTGGGGCCGGAATGCTCTCCACAGGTAGGCAGGGCTGGCTGAGGGATGGGCACGAGAGAAGCAAGGGTTAACCAGGGACAGGCGGGAGGGCTCTGGAATGGTCACGCCTGTCCCTTCCTCTCACCGTGGGGGCGGTGAACTGTGACTGGTTCAGGCATCTCAGTTCCCTGGAGGAGAGGCTGTGTTTGTCCTGGGCTGCTGGCCCCCCAGGGTTACCAGCTCCCCGTCTTTCAGGCCCTTTTCCCCCCATTCTTAGAACACCAAGGCTTAGGAATTGTCAGGTCCTGTGGCCCCCATGAGCCAGGACACCCCCACTTCCCAGATGAGAACATGGGGGTTTGCGGGGGCTTTCTCTCGTGCGAGCTCTGAGGACAGAGAGGACGTGGTCTGAGAGGGACTCCAGAACTCCAGGCGTCACCGCCTGACCCTCCTCCCCAGGGCGGGCCTCCGGCTTTTCTTCCAGGCTGGCTCAGAACCACCTGGCCGATCCACCCTGCCTGGTTCTGCACCCCCACCCCCAGGCCGCCAGTCTCTGCAGCTTTCTGGTCTGTTACTCCCTTGGACACCCGAGGGCCCACCTGGATTGCCTTTTGTCCCAGCGCAAGGTTCCTGGAGCTCCCCTCACTGCCATCACTCCCAGGGGTTCGACTCCACCCCACCTGGCTCCTACTCCCCCAGTCACAGGCCGATGCCGCAGCCCGGCCCTGCTCAGGCCCCGCTTCCTGTCACAGGCACCTGGGTGTATCACCTAATGCAACCTCTGCCTCCCACCTCCACCTCAGACTTTGCCTAAAGTCCTGACTCAGACACAGCCCAGGGCAAACACAGGGTTCCCTTCCAGGGGTCACCTGTCTCGAGTGTGAGGAGCACCCTGAATCCTAGGCAGGAGAATCAGGGGAGCAGTTTCATAGCCCAGCCACCCCTGAGGCCATCTAGGCTCTGACACCTGAATAGAGACAGCAGGACCGCGGGCCAGAGTCTTCTCTTACTTCTTTTTTTTTTTTTTTTTTAATAATTTTTTTTTTTAGGGGCCGGTGGTTGAGACAGAGAGAGACAGAGAAAGAGAGAAATCTCCCCTAGGGGGAGAGTCCCGCTGCAACCCCTTCTCCTCCATTCTCCTCTTGGGATTTTGGGCACGTGCACACTTGTGCCCAGCGTGAATTTCAAGCTGCTGGGTCCAGGACTCAAACTGCGGTCAGCCATGTGGGAGTCCAGAGCCACAACCACGACACTACTTGTTGGCTCCAGAATCGTCGGTCTATTTTTGTTTTTTTCTGAGGGGTTTTTGCTATAGGGCACGTGCACTCGCCAGAAAGATAGAGAGACAGAAAGCGAGAAATCACCCCCCAGGGGGGATGGTCATGCCGCAATCCCTTCTCCTCTATTCTCCTCTCGGGATCTTGGGCACGCACGCACACGCGCCCGGTGTGAGTTTAAGCCACCGGGTCCGGGACTCGAACCGTGGTCGACTATACGGGAGTCCAGCGACATAGCCATTATGCCAACTGCTGGTCCCAAGAATCATCAGTCTTAACCGTGCCTCTGAACGTTGCCAACAGGACAGTGGTGGGCAGCATCTGGAGTTGAAGGGTGAGGATGAGCGTGAAAAGGGAGAAAGGTGGAAGAGAGCCCACGACACCGAGAACACTGCTGAGGGAGGGTCGTCCTTACCAAGGGTGGCTAACTTGGAATAAGTCTTTTGGAAGCATGAAGATTAAAAAAAAAAAAAAGAAGAAAGAAAGAAAAGAAAAAGAAATACAGGGGTGGGGGGCGAGAAAAAGGTCTCAGGGTCAAGTTAAAAGTCTAACAGTGAAAAATAAAGGGGGAGGCAGCAGGTGGCGTGGTGGTTAGGGTGCTGGAATTCCCGCATGGCTGACCACGGTTCAAGTCCCGGATCTGGGGGCTTGCGTTTTCACGTTCCC